GTAGGACTGAAGTCTGAGGATGAGGAACTTTGGACGCAGAGGTATAAACACCATCTCTGTATGCCAAAGGGGTTCCTCCAAGACGCAAGAGGTGGTGGGATGTGGTTCATACTGGGCTATATCCTTGTTTTTGCGGGCGTGTTGGTATATCCGGTCTTCAGCGTCGTCTTGCTGACGCAGGCGCCTGGGCTTTTCTTTCCCGATGCGGCGGCGTATGGGATACTCAGTATGTTGGGTGTTGCGGCTGTTTCGGGATCGGTGGTGGCAAACTTGAGGAGTTTGAAAAAGGTTGGAGCTGTCAACATTTTTGTCGCTGCTTCGGTACTCGCTGGTGCGATTTGCCTTGCGTCGGTGCTGTATCCGCGGCTCTACGTCGTTGTTCTATTTGCTGGAGCATATGGTGTCGCGCTTGGTGCGATACTGTCACACCATATGATTGTTGCGGCGATGTTTCTCAGCAAGAAAGTGGAGGGGAGGTGGGAGGATGATATGCCTGCGCGTGTGGCTATCATTATGGCGCTGGCTGGGCTGGGTGCCTTTGGTGGTATTGTTGGAGCGGCAGCGTTGCTTGAGGGAAACAAGAACGGAGAGAAGGTTGTGATCAAGGTAGCGGGTGCTTGCATGATCGGTGGTGGTCTGTTGATTGGTTTTGCGAGGATGTGGCGGTGGAGGTGAAAAGCCGCGTTCTATGCTGTGTAGTGCACTAAATTCGATGCATGAAACGGTTTCAAGCACTCGTCAGGTCTTCATATGTGTAGTATTATTGATTAATGTCTATTCAAATTCTCATTAGATATTTCATAACCAAGCATTCGTGTTTACACGTAGATGTAGCAGAACGGTCCCTCGGTCGTGCTCATCAAATCCTCCATCCTTTGTGATCCACTTGCAGCGTAGCCAAGATCAATAACAGTATCGAAGGTCGTGTTAGCCGAAGGTGGGTTGTTCAAAAACGTGCCGGTACCAGAAACACCTCCCTTCTCGCTCTCCACACGGGTCTTGGTGTCAAGCTGCTGCCAAGTCCACCACACCTTGTCGATCATGCCATGGTGAAGATAGAACAGTGGGTCACCAGGCGATACGAAGAAGTCGCGGCCAGGGTCGCCGCCCATGGAGTAGTGACCGCCACCGTGTACACCCAGACTGTCTGTTCCTGGTACACCCTGCATTACCATCTCGAACTGCCAGATGTCCTTCTTGTTGATGATCAAGTCGGCAATGGCAGCCGCATTAGCCCACTTCTTGTTGCTGTAGTCGGTCAAGTCCCGCGTCAGACATCTCGGGTTGTATGAAAGGCCATCTCCGTTGGCGATTTCGGTACCGTTAGTTGTGCTCAAAGCAACAGGGCCAAGGTTAACCTCTAGATATCTCAGTTAGTTTACGTCGATGAGAGTGCGCTGTAGTAATGGGAATACTCACTCATGTTCTTGAACGGACCGCTCTTTACACAGCCACCTCCGGTACCGGGTGGGATAGTGATAATTGGTTCGCCTCTGCCAGCAATGACAACATTGCCCTGGCCAGCGATCTTCTCTCCGTTGCCTGACATGGAGTACGCAGATCCATCGAGCATTGGCGCTTTGTCAAGACCGCTGACAGCGGTCTTTGCCCAGTTCCAGTAGGGTTGATAACCCTTGTATCCACATTCGTTACGAAGAGCTTGCTCGTACTGCCAGGTAAAGTACCGGTGCCATGCGAGGAAAGTACCGGTGTAGTGGATTTCCATGGTCTTTAGGATGTGGTTACCGACGAAGTCATCGAATCGTGACTTTGCTCCAGGGATGAGTGAGGCAGGCGTGTTTGCTTTCTTCGCCTGAAGACAAAGCACTGCATCGGTATAGGCTTTGCGTTCTGTGTTCGATAGTGCGTTCCATTCTTTGCGCACCGCGACAGTGTTCTTGTTGCAGGTGGCTCTCTTCGACGAACTTGCTGCTAGGTCATCGTTGGCTTGTTGTTGAGCGAACGCAAACAGTTGATCAAGTTGCTCGCTAGCAATCGTAGGGTCGCTCGATGCCGAGGTGGGTAGCGAAGACGGGTCTACAGGCGCATTTTGAGGAGCTGGTAGTGCATTCGACAGCGTTCCAGCAAGAACAGCCAGCGCTAGAGGGGAGTTGAAACGCATATTGTATTCTGACCAAGTGAATGGAAGATATGGGCGTGGTTGCTTGATCGGAAGATGAGGCCTTGTGCTGTGGTGCAAAAAGAAGAAGGCGTTTTCTTACACATATATATCAGAGAATAATCTTACACCGCTTCAAAAATAGGCCTGCCACGCCTCGGTGCCGGGATTTGGGGGCGAGAACCTCCCAGAGCCACTTGATCTTTGCTAGAATTGTGTAGTGCACCGCAGCTAACCTTACTGTCTCTCAAGCTGACGTCCAAGCATCGAGGCAAGGTAATGCCACGGGTGGGGCCATAACCTATCGGTGCCTGGCGCATGTGTATACGCATCTCCGAGCAGACGTTATGCCCTGAACGCAAGGACCATAAGGCTAGATTGGCGGACTTTCTGTCAAGCGCGCCTTTGCCGCAAGCGTGCCGTATACAGAGCTATCGTTCGGCGACATGTCCATGGAAGACCCGGATGTAGTCTGCCGGACAACTCACATCGCACTACGATGGCAAGTGGAGCTTTGCCGGATCTTTGGGCAACCCCGCTGGCCCAATATCGTTTGGCTAAAGAGCCCCAGTATGTTTCCGTGCGCGGGAACATGATGAGCGAAAGGCGATCTGATCCATGCGGTATGCGAGTAATGATATTAGCTAGGTGGTCCCTGAGGTCCTATGCAACATATAACTCTGACATTGTACCCCAACCGCCTTTTTGAATGTGTGAAATTATGTCGGGATGCCTTGATACCAATCTGTTCCACGTCTGCAGGCAATCACACCACAGCCCTGCATGTTGAGCCGCGGCCCACCAACGTGCAGGAAGAAAGGAACATTTTTTCTTACAGGCGGCAGTTCAGGTCTAGAAAACCTCCTTGAAAGCATACTCATCCTTCCATGATTCAGGGTTCTGCATTGGGATTGGCTTCTCGGATGTCGTGCGAGTTGAGTGAAGAATGGGAAGCATCTGATGCGGCTGGACATTGGTGGCGCAAATCATGCCGAAGCGCTAAGCTCCGCTAAGGCTGAGATCCGTCTTGCCGCGTCCCCGTCCCGCCTCCTCAACTCCATCAACCGCGCCGAGGACAAGGCCTCCAAACTACCGGGTAATCTCGATCGCGACAATAACGTCCAGCCGCACCGAAACACCCATTCTAGAGTTACCATTGGCTTAAGCACCATCTTCTGAGCCCCGAGAGGCCTACCGGGTATTGCGACCTTCCGGATGAGGCGCTGGGAAGCGACAAGCGTATAGGATATTAACCGATTCTACAGCGGTTTTCGCAACTTCCTCGGTATGTGGGGGGAATCATATCAGGAATATTCTAGTGAGTGTTCTGAAGCTTATGAGTAAAGTGAGTCCTTAGGAACAGGTTTGTGATAGATTCTACCCATATCTACACGACTGTACAAGTCGAATTGAGTCTCATATCCATCAGCATGTCACGTCTATGTACTTAGACGAGCCGCAGACCCCTTTCTGCTCCTGTCGGCACTTGTTCGGGTTGACAAGCTCACCCTCCAAGAACCCGTGCTGCACGACTAGCATCCTTCAGTGTTTTAGTTTCAAAGACGTGCAGTAAACGGTATGACATGCGGACTACTAGTCTCGATCACCTGCTTTAACGATATTGAGGGTACTGTTCATGCGGCAGCTTAGATCTCATACACTACTATTACATCTTGGTAACGTCGATACCCACGTGGCTAGCGACTCAGCTATCGACTCGAGTCAACTCATCGATGGTATCAGGGTGTTAGCCGAGTGACCGAGCGCAGAACAACTGAAAGGTTTCTTAGTTGATGGAGTACTGCGAAATAATATCACTACATTTGCTGCACGAGCTACAGCAAGTGCTACCAAACAGACGGATTCTCATATAACACGGAGGTTACCGTACCCAGCACCTTGCTCGAGACCCTGCACATGAGACTCTATCGTCTGCAGGGATATATGTCTGTCACAACATACCATCTCCCGCGCAGTCAGTTTGTCCTGCCGAGGTATGCTTCCGTCTCGAATCAGTCATTCACAGCCACCTTTCTCGTTAGCGAGACTAGTCCAAGTGCTTTCTCGCCAGGCTATGTTGTTCCTGTCCGGAACCAGCCTCGACAAGCTCATCCTCCATCTACTCTTTGAGTGATGGGTGATTGAAAACAAGGTTTGCCGTTAACTGTATTCTCTCGGCTTTTCCGCGTGGCGCGTTAAGGAACCGCAGACAGGAGCTGCTGGTCTCAGAACACGAAAGCCATGTGAAACCCCTGACGTCTGTCTCCATTTCCCGATCGCTGGTGTTATATTACAAGCATCTTGCTGGTTCTCTGAGAAAATCGCGTGTTCTGAAATCCTTTACTCCCAATCGACGTACGCTCCACGATGCAGCAGAGCGGCGCAGCGATGCCGCCGATGCGTCCCTACGAGAATGAGGGCCCGACCATCCTCGGAACTACGCTAACCGTCACCATCGTGGCCGTGCTTACTACGATTGCGAGGTTTTACGTCAGGATTAGGATGATCAGGAATGTTGGTTGGGACGTGAGTGCTCGGCAGTGAACATGGGTGATCTCCACTGACATCTATCTGCCACCAGGACTATGTGATGCTGTTGGCTATGATGTTGGTATGAAACAGTAGAGTATTAACTTCTGGTATGTTGCTGACAGCTTTGTAGTGCGTTGCTGGTCAATGCCTCGTCATCCCCCAAGTCCACTATGGAGCAGGAAAGCATGTCGATTACATCAAGCCTGAGGACTTCATAGCGGGCCTCAGGCTAAACCTCATTTCTCAGCCCGTATTCCTCTTCGCAATCTGTTTTGTAAAGATTTCGGTGGGTTTCTTCCTCTTAAGAATCGCGGTCGGGAAATTCTACAAACGCCTAATCAGCGGCATCATGGGTAAAAGCGCCATTTCTCAGACTGCAACTATGGAGATGCTGACTATTTGCAGCGTTTATGGGCATCTATACGGTCGGCTGTGTCCTTACAGTTCTACTGCAATGCACGGATATCCGTCTGATGTGGGACCAACGCGTCAAGGGTACATGTTGGACCGTTAAAACAAGGCAAGCCTTGGGCTTTCTCAACATCGTGCTGAACATCCTTACCGACATTGCCTTTTCAGTCGGCATACCTGTGGGTCTCACCTTACTCCAAGCGGTTACATACTCTGCTAATGAACCCATTTAGATTCCCATGTTATGGGGCGTGCAGATGAATCGCCGTCACAAAGCTTCTCTCATATGTATCCTTGGCCTCGGAACGTTCGCCACGGCCGCTGCCTTCGTCAAACTCTCCTACCTACCCGCCTACGGGCGCGAGGGCGACCTTTTGTGGGACTCGCGCAACATGACCATCTGGACTGTCATTGAATGCAACGTTGGCATCATCGCTGGCAATCTGCCCTGCCTCAAACCGCTTTTCCGCTCTATACTCGTTTCCACATACGGCAGTGGTTCTCGCAAGACCTCGCAGCTTCGCTACCACTCAAGCGCATACGCACCAGGCTCAAAGCAGCGCTCCGCAGCCAGAGACTATGGTCAGTTATCGTCTAATAAGGCATTAGACGGCGAATATGCAAGCTATGGCGCGGCTGGCAAAGCGTACATGTTGACGACGATCGACGCCAAAACCAAGCAAGCTCGAGAGACGAGCGGAAGTTCATCTGGAAGCAGCTCTCCAGTCGCAGAAAGAGGCAGCACCGAAAGCATTACGAGGCTGAACAATAATAAAGCGCAAGCATCTGGTGGATTGGGTGATATTACAGTCACGACGAAGGTAGATGTGAGCGAATCGGTGCACTCGCAGGAACTATATCCGGAAGGGAGGACGTTTTGGAGACCAGAAGCAAAGGAAATGGTCTAGAGTGGATGCAGTGTTTGAGAATAATGTTTTATGGTTTTATTATTTAGTGATCTCAACTATTGGAGCATAGTAGCACGCGGCATACTGGCAGTCTATTTTCTAGGACTCGCTTCCCCTGTGCGCCTTATGGGCTTCCTTTCATCGATGAAGACATCTTCTAATTATTATTCTGTCAAAAAAATCTGCTGATTCGAGTCCATCGTCCGCGAGCGTGAGCTCTCTCTCTGGCCTCTCTATGGGTATCGTTTGGCGCTATCTCGACAAATGTCGGACGCAATGTGTAGTGTAATGTAAAGACAAATGAAATGTTTTGTTCTGGTTCAGGTGACGTTCTATGATGCTGTTACAAGCTGGTTGAGCTTCATGCAGCTGAGACGGAATGGCTGAGCGTGCTCTTGAGGTACGTGAAGGGCGACGCTACGCAGAATTTCGTCTGGTAGCGAAAGAAACTTTGACTGAATGTTACTCTCCTCGTTCTGTTTTGCTGAAACGTCCTCTGTCGCTTCTGGGGCAACCTCGCTGTGTGAATCTTCAATGAAGCTGCCCTCTCTCGAATCTTGCATACACCAGGTCTCTCGCCACATAGCGGAAATGTGCTGGCGCTCTTCGCGTGCTGCGCTGTCGTCCTCATCGGGATGCTCTTGGATCACGTGGATCATCTTCTCGTCCTCTTTCGACTCATTCGAGCCCTCCAGCCACGAGGCTGAAACCTTGCGGTAGCGATGCACTTCCGCGTCCATGGGGCGGTCGAGCCAGTCGTCCATTTGCTCGTCAGACATCTCGCTCTTTGTGCTCCTGGAGGAGCTCCACGAGTACGAGGTTTGCGGCGTTCCCGGTGGAGAAAGGGGAAGGCTGAGGGTCGACTCGTAAGTAGCCTGTTTCCAGTGTACGTAGCCTTGCATGCCTTGGATGAACTCCTTGCTGGGCTTTCGGTCCCTGGGCAGAAGGAACTGCTGGATAGGGAAGAAGCTGCCCTCGACTGGTGAGAGTGGTGGGGACAAGAAGCCACTTGAGATCCGGTCTTCGTTGTCGATCTCAGTAGTGCGAGCGGCGTCCTGGGAGTTTTCACGGTCTGACTCGGGTGTTGATGTGAGCGAAGTCGTCGATGATGCTCTCGTGCGCTCCCCTTGCTTGACTGAAAGTACTGGGTCCTCCTTTAACGATCGCATATGCGAGATGAGCTGATCGTGAGTGTCGTTCAGCCTCTGGAAGAAGGACTTCTTCGGCCGCACAGCCTGCGGCCGAAGGTCCTCGTATGACATGCCGATGGTGGTTGTCATCCTGATTGACTTGGGGTTGAGTCCTGGTGGAGTGGTCCTGGAATGGTTCAAACGTTCAGGGTGCGGGTCTCGTGGGTGTTTATGTTGATAGGGGCATGTTGGGTTGCTTTTTGTTGTTGTTGTTATGTTGTGACGGGTGGGACGGGTACAAATACAACTGAAACTGGGAAACACAGCTGCGCGTCCGCCCCGGCCCCGCTAACAGTCGCAAAGCAAGGCGGGGCGATCTTCGAATTACGCCAGAAAAACGGTTGATCCATGCAGAGCCGTTCGGTCAATAGTCCAGCGACCGCCGGTGAATGCGCTGATTGGGCTATGGCTAGGTCGGGCTCCATGAAGCGGGGCGACGCTGTCGTTCGGACGTTCTTCCGCTGAGGTCATCGGGGCATCAGTGGAAGTTGAGGACCAGGGTGCATTTTTCGCCTACATTAGCTACATGCGCACACATTAGACGCAACCACGTCCACCATTCAGATCCTGTTGGGCTGCATAATGTACATGTCAGTAAGTTCTATTCAAGCTCCAACGTTTCCATAGAGACAGCTCGCGATACCTGTCACTTGACGACAAAGCTCATCGTCGCATCGAGGCGTCCCATGTGATGCGAAACACGATCGCTGGGATGCTCGGAGAATAAGGTGGAGCAGGTCATTAGCGACGAGGTCCAGACCACACACCCACCACGATCGATCAAATGTGCTCAATTTCCAAAAGTGCTCGCGTGAAAGCCGTTGGTAATGAGGCGCCTTGGGGCTATTGAAGCTTACCAAAACAGGGCGTCGCAAACCGGTCCGGAACTCTAAAATCCATCAAAAGCTTTTTGACAGTTGGTCTTGGACGGCATTCTTGACTTTCCCCATCACATTTCGTCTGTGCTTCCACGTTTCGTCTGCATTACGCAGCTCCCCACGAAGTGTCTTGACACTGCATGAACGATGCGGGTCGTGGAAGTAGACTAAACGTCTTGTGAAAGGAGCCTTTGCCATACTCAACCATCTCACAAGACATAGTTTTGGTCTTCTTTTCGTAGTTCACTAGGCAACACAGGGTAGGTCAATCGCTCGGGAGAAGCAACGCAATGATCGCGATCTGTCATCCAACTGTCTGTTGAACTTCAGTGCGAAAAGCTGAGGAACTTCGATGAACGTAATTCGAAATTTTCGACCGTGGCTCGGTACATGTCAGCAGCACTAGCCGACCAGTGCCCAAGATAGCTTTCCAAAAGGAGCTAGATCTTACCTGGGGATGTTCGTGCCCGAAGGGTTGGATGTGTTTCTGGGCGAACACATCTCAACACTCTCTGACCACCACTTTGAAAATGAAAGATGAAGTCACGATCGGAGCCTGTGCGGTTGAAGAGCAGGGATATGCAGGTTTGTTATCTTCTGGATGAAAATGAAGCACTGAGGGCCGCCCAATGCTCAGTGACAGCCCAAAATTGGTACGTGGTACTTGGCGCGAAACCGTTGCTGCAGTTCCCAACACTAACAGCTAGCGAGCGCGGCACCGGCAATCTGCGCTAAAAGACCAGGAAAACCACTACCGGACGTTTGGAATCCAAGGCAATTGGCTCGGCACTCCTCGACAGTCAGGGCGGCAGTGGGAGCGATCCTCATTCGATGACGGCTGTATGAATACACACTTTAATCTGTTGGAATTGGAACTTCCCATGAATATGAGCGTTGTCCCTCAACCTTCGCTCCGATAAGACTTTGTACACAGTAGGATCTGAGCGCGTGACACAGACAGGAGACAGGAGTTGTTGGCCGTAGCGAGCGGAGAGACCCACGTCGTATTCCGTTGCGCACGCGTAACAGCAGCAAATGACGGATGTGCGGAGAACAGCAGATGACGATACGCGGTTCTGGACTTCTGAACCTCTCAGGCTTTCTAAGCAAAATTTCTCCTTGCAGAACGATTTTTCTTTCTCGCAGAGTTCGCGCGTCTCTGCACGCATCGCCCCAGGCAAGGTTGTGCCTCCGTGATACGGCCGAGACATCCTCCTTCTGCTAGGAACACGCTTTTCGCGTGGACGCAGTGTACTGCTCAGTACTCCTCCGAATCGGGATACGTATTTTCCCAATTCCTGACCAAAATAGATGCGCGTCTCCTCTTATACTAGTATCCTGCACCGCAATGCCTCACGTAACAAGTACTCCATCTGAGTGCTTAGATGTCGACTACAAAGCAATCGTCATCGCATCACGGCAAGACGGCAAGAATGTCGCGCGATGGATTCCATCAGTTGCTGTCCCTGGTCACGCGTTTCGATTCACCAACAAAAAGACAGTCATTACTCTCGACTGAATCCTGGTACTCCAAACGGTAGTGCTATGTGTATATGACAGACAGATGCGGATAGATAGTTGGGACCAAAAGGTGTTTGTGTAGACAGAATACAGTCTGCAATTCAAAAATGGGTAGAGAAGAAGCTCTGTTTGTTTGTGAGAGTGTATCGAGCAAAGAAACAAGATGAAGAGATAAGATACCGGCCGTGAAGGGTGAGAGGAAACTACATGCTACAACGACCAAATCTGACGTATGGTAGGTGCTGCCAAAGCTAGTGGTGTGCTCTTGGAGAGTACCACATTTGTACGTTCTCTACCTATGATGCGTTTAAAGCATACGCAAGCAAGGCTTCTAAGATTATCTGTCTGTGGGGCATGAATTAACAAAAAAGATAGGCGAGCCCGAAGACTCGTTACTCAGCTGTGGACGGATGGATGATCGAAATCCAGACCTCCTGCAATTTTGCCCAATTAGGATGCAAAGCAGGCGCTCTACCACTGAGCTATACGCCCTGGTGATTTGATTGTTACCTGTGATGCGTATATAGATCGAATGATACTCTACACCGCCGGATCAGGCGGTAGGGTAGAGTCCGTCGGAGTATGAACAACGCACAAACTCAACAACGTGACTTGGAGAAACGGGAAACGACGTTCAGGTGATCCTTCTTATTGGCACACAATGTCAGTATATATCCAATAAGATACAACATACACATACACGAGTACCACCTTATACCACCTTGCTAATCACCCGTATCATCACACGCCCGTCTCTCATCCTACTCCACCACACCCATCACGCCCCTGCCTCAAAGATTATCACAAGCCTTTCCAAATCGTCTATCCCACAACGGCTGCGGAAAGACACCGCCGTCCAACAGCTGAAACAAATCCCACTCTCCTGCACCACCCTCAGTCTTGAAATTCCAGAAGATCCAACCCCTTGTCCTGGCTTCATACGCATCGAGTTGAACCTCAATATAGCGACGCACATTATCCTTCCAGTCCTGAGACCATGTAGACACAGGGCCGGATTTGCCGGCACAGGAGCCGATCCAGTAAGACCCAGGGAAGCTACCCTCCATGCGGGAGCCGTAATTGAAGCCGCTAAGGTGGGGAGCACAATCGGTGAAGGCGCCGGACCATTCACCCACGATTGTCCATTTGTCTGAGCTGTCGTAGTTGCTGACCTAAAGGGTGAGTTAGCAAGCACTTCATGGTGGAGCGGTAGCGGTAAGATTGCGACGTACAGAGTTACAGGCAAGAGCCACGTGTTGGTCGACAGACATGGCGTTCAGCCCAGAGTCGAAGATCTGGTACTCGTGGTGATCTACAATAACGTTGCGCGCATCGTTGTCTTGCTTGGTCAGAAAGCCGTTTAGCCAAGAGGGGTTCTCAAAGCCATCATGTAGTATAGCAGGTGTATCGC